GGTAGAGAGAGAGGGGGTAGAGAGAGATGGTAGAGAGGGGGGGGGGTAGAGAGAGAGGGGGTAGAGAGAGGGGGTAGAGAGAGGGGGTAGAGAGAGGGGGTAGAGAGAGAGAGGGGGTAGAGAGAGGGGGTAGAGAGAGGGGGTATAGAGAGAGGGGGTAGAGAGAAAGAGAGGGGGTAGAGAGAGGGGGGTAGAGAGAGGGGGTAGAGAGAGAGAGAGGGGGTAGAGAGAGAGGGGGTAGAGAGAGAGAGGTGGTAGAGAGAGGGGGGTAGAGAGAGGGGGTAGAGAGAGGGGGTAGAGAGAGGGGGTAGAGAGAGAGGGGGTAGAGAGAGGGGGTAGAGAGAGAGAGAGGGGGTAGAGAGAGAGAGAGGGGGGTGGGGGCACATAAAGCAAAACATTGAACAAATTTTATTTTATTTTAAAAAAACCGAAATGACGAACGAATCAAAGTGCCCACTACAACCGCGCATCTCCTGGATACTTCTGCTCGTTAAAAAAAAATAAAAAAAAATAAGTAGATAGAGAGATAGAGAGAGATAGAGAACACTCAAACTCTACACAAACGGCGAGGTCGTCAGTGTCGGGAATCGAACCGAGGTCCTCCTGCACCACCGGCCGAGGTGGTTTAACGCGTCGCCAGCGGAGCTTGGACAGCGATAGCAGCCCTGTGGTAGGTCGCCGTGAATAGCGGGGTGCCTGCGACACCGCTGCGCGTGCCCTCTGTCACGCGAGTTTCCCTGCTGATAAGCGAACAGGGGGAGACGGGGTGCGTGGGGGATAATTATAGCCGCAATAAGGAGAGAGACCCCCACAGAGAGAGAGAGAGAGTGTGGAGGGAGACAGCAGAGAGGTGAGAGATGAGAGAGGACAGAGTGGGGAGAGAGAGGGGGGTAGAGAGAGAGGGGGTAGAGAGAGAGAGAAGGGGTAGAGAGAGAGGGGGTAGAGAGAGAGGGGGGGTAGAGAGAGAGAGGGTAGAGAGAGAGGGGGTAGAGAGAGAGGGGGTAGAGAGAGAGGGGGTAGAGAGGGGGTAGAGAGAGAGGGGGTAGAGAGAGAAGGGGTAGAGAGAGATGGGGTAGAGAGAGAGGGGGAAGAGAGAGGGTAGACAGAGAGGGGGTAGAGATAGAGGGGGTAGAGAGAGGGGGTAGAGAGAGAGAGGGGGTAGAGAGAGAGGGGGTAGAGAGAGAGAAAGAGGGGGTAGAGAGAGAGGGGGTAGAGAGAGAGAGAGGGGGTAGAGAGAGAGGGGGTAGAGAGAGGGGGGTAGAGAGAGGGGGTAGCGAGAGAGAGAGGGGTAGAGAGAGAGGGGGTAGAGAGAGGGGGGTAGAGAGAGAGAGGGGGTAGAGAGAGAGGGGGTAGAGAGAGGGGGTAGAGAGAGAGGGGGTAGTGAGAGGGGGGTAGAGAGAGAGGGGGTAGAGAGAGAGAGGGGGTAGAGAGAGGAGGTAGAGAGAGAGAGGGGGGTAGAGAGAGAGGGGTAGAGAGAGAGAGGGGGTAGAGAGAGAGGGGGTAGAGAGAGAGAGGGGTAGAGAGAGGGGGTAGAGAGAGGGGGTAGAGAGAGGGGGTAGAGAGAGAGGGGGGTAGAGAGAGAGAGAGAGGGGGTAAAGAGAGAGGGGGTAGAGAGATGGGGGTAGAGAGAGAGGGGGTAGACAGAGAGGGGGTAGAGAGAGAGGGGGTAGAGAGAGAGAGGGTAGAGAGAGAGGGGGTAGAGAGAGAGGGGGTAGAGAGAGAAGGGGTAGAGAGAGAAGGGGTAGAGAGAGAGAGGGGTAGAGAGAGAGGGGGTAGAGAGAGGGGGTAGAGAGAGAGGGGGTAGAGAGAGCGGGGTAGAGTGAGAGAGGGGGTAGAGAGAGAGGGGGTAGAGAGAGGGGGTAGAGAGAGAGGGGGTAGAGAGAGAGGGGGTAGAGAGAGAGGGGGTAGAGAGAGAGGGGGTAGAGAGAGAGGGGGTAGAGAGAGCGGGGTAGAGAGAGAGAGGGGGTAGAGAGAGGGGGGTAGAGAAAGGGGGGTAGAGAGAGGGGGGTAGAGAGAGAGAGGGGGTAGAGAGAGGGGGTAGAGAGAGAGGAGGGTAAGGAGAGCAGAGCGAGAAATATTTCGTGAAATTTTTCATTTAAAAAGGTGGGGGGGGGGGGGGGGGTTATATGAAGCAAAGCATTGAAAAAGAAACCACCCGAAACGATGAACGCAGCAAAGTGCCGACTACACTGATCATCTTCTTGCTTCCTCCGATCGTCGAAAAGAAAAGAGACAGAGAGAGAGAGAGACAGAGAGAGAGAGTTAAGAGAGACATACAGAGAGTTAAGAGAGACAGAGATAGTTAAGAGAGACAGAGAGAGAGTTAAGAGAGACAGAGAGAGTTAAGAGAGACAGAGAGAGTTAAGAGAGACAGAGAGAGTTAAGAGAGACAGAGAGAGAGTTAAGAGAGGCAGAGAGTTAAGAGAGAGTTAAGAGAGACAGAGAGAGTTAAGAGCGACAGAGAGAGAGTTAAGAGAGACAGAGAGAGTTAAGAGAGACAGAGAGAAAGTTAAGAGAGACAGAGAGAGTTAAGAGAGACAGAGAGAGAGTTAAGAGAGACAGAGAGAGTTAAGAGAGAGTTAAGAGAGACAGAGAGGGTTAAGAGAGACAGAGAGAGTTAAGAGAGACAGAGAGAGAGTTAAGAGAGACAGAGAGAGAGTTAAAAGAGAGTTAATAGAGACAGAGAGAGAGTTAAGAGAGACAGAGAGAGTTAAGAGAGACAGGGAGAGAGTTAAGAGAGACAGAGAGTTAAGAGAGACAGAGAGAGAGTTAAGAGAGACAGAGAGAGTTAAGAGAGAGTTAATAGAGACAGAGAGAGAGAGAGTTAAGAGAGACAGAGAGAGTTAAGAGAGACAGAGAGAGTTAAGAGAGACAGGGGAGGCACCATGACCACTTAGGTGGTCCTCCTAGGGCGAGGCTTATCCATGGCACTGCGGGTGGGTTGACCCCTGCGATTTCCCCAAATGCGTGAAACCTGGCTGAATAATTTGTGGTACTGGGGGAGTGCGTTCGCGCTATCCCTCGAAACGATTAAATAAAGAGAGAGGGGAAAGAGAGAGGGGAACAGGAGAGTTAAGAGAGAGAGAGGGGAGAGAGAGATAAGAGGGAGATAAGAGAGAGTGAGTGGGGAGAGAGAGGGGAGAGAGAGGGGAGAGAGAGGGGAGAGAGGAGAGAGACAGAGAGAGAGAGAGGAGAGACAGAGAGGAGAGTGAGAAGGAGAGTTTGTGGGCTACTAGAAAACAGAGTGCGAGGAGCGGAGAGAAAGGAGAATTTCGGGAGCGACAAAAGAGGTGAGCGACTGTTGCTGACAACACACACAGACACAGACACACACACAGACACACACAGACACACACACAGACACACACACAGACACACACACAGACACACAGACACACACACAGACACACACACAGACACACAGACACACACAGACACACACACAGACACACACAGACACACACACAGACACACACAGACAGACACACAGACACACACACAGACACACAGACACACAGACACACACACAGACACACACAGACACACACACGGACACACAGACACAAACAGACACACAGACACACACACAGACACACACGACACACAAACACACACAGACACACACACAGACACACAGACACACACACAGCACACACACAGACACACAGAGACACACAAACACACACAGACACACAGA